GGGGAGAAAAGGATGTGAATAAGACGGTGGAAAAGAAGAAAGAAAGATGAGGGAATGTGACAGACTCTGAGAGATGTTAGAGAGATGTAAGAGCTTGACGGAGAATTATGAAGCGGTACATGGAAGTGTATGGCAAAGCTTCTTCACTTCCCTTCCTCCCTTCATCCATCCTTTCATCCATCCTCTATCCTCCCTTTGTATTTCTCCGTGGCTTGACTGCAGCTTTGGACAGCCAAAACTTTTTTTATTCTCTGCCGAAAGACGCAATTGATTCATTTATGTGTTCCAGAGTGTTCTGAAGCCCGAGTGTAAACCCCCCCCCCCCCCCATTCATTCATCCATCTCTGTCAACATAAGCTTTGAAGAATGTTTCCTGAAGAGCTGCTCTCCACATTTCCCATTTCCATATTTGTAGTGTTTTCTTTTTTCATGCTTGACATAAATTGCACTGATTTTGGATCAGCCTCTGCCCCAAAGCCAAACTAGATTTATTTCTTTATAGGGGAAACATTAAACTCTGATCACAAAATCAGGCGCTACATGTACATACCCTGTAAAGCTGTGTTTTGTAGTTATTATAATAATTATTGGCTTTCAAAAAAAGCTTGTTTTTTGTCTTGTCTGGTGTCAAAGTCCTCCACCACACAACTCACGTGTGAAATAACAATAAAGCGCTTCTTACACATATTTCAGGCCACAATTACGTTTCTGTACAAAATGTAACTGGTAAAAATAAAACAGTATATAAATGTAAGCAGGCGGGGGGGGGGGGTTGCTATCTATCAGGAAACTATAATATTTTAAATGAAAACACTGCTGTCTGGCACAATCACAAAGATACAAAAGCTCTAAAGGGAAAGAAACATTTTCATTTCCACTGTGCTGACAAAGTGAAGTACATAGTAAAGGTTAAAACAGCAGGACTTTGGTGTAAACTGTTCAGTGTAGATACAATAATTTAAAATAAAAACTCCAGCCATGTAATTAATTCTTAACCGTGACTCTTGAGACTATATCTAATAACCCTTAGATTGGATCACACAGAAAGTATTGCTATACCTTCTTCCTTCAGTTTTTTTTTATATTATCATCTCTTGCAGACATTCGAATCGACCTCCATCCTGTCTCACCATCCTTTGTCGTCGTCGTCCCCCCCTCCCCCTCGGTCTGTCTCTCGTCCTTTATCACCGCTGCTAGTTTTTTCTTCAGATTCCTGCTCCTCTCCGGGATCATCTTGTCTTTTCGACTATGCTGTTGACCCACAAGTGCAGATTTCTCTCTCTTCCTTTTTTGTACACCTCTGTTATCCCCCCCCCCCTCAACAGTCCATCCTCCGCTCCTTCCTCATGTCTGTACTTTATCTGCTGCTGTACTCGTTCGCCTCCCAGCACGGATCCTTCCTTGCTTTTCTTCAATGTTGGACTTTGGACACTGAAACCAACTAACAACCACGAACTCTACATATATATATGTATATATATATATATATACATACATATATATATGTATATATACATTTACACAGTATATATACAAATGGATATATAAATATATCAAAATCTAAGCCACCATTTTTATTCTACTGGTATTATGATGATAATAATGATAATACTAATCCTGAAAACTGAATCTGGTTGATGACTATAATATCTGTATTTCCGTACTTCAATGTTATATAAAAGAAAAAATATTCTATGAGAAACTTATTAGTGATTGTGTGTGGAAATCTGAGGCTGCCGTTCTGCTCTTCTGATTAAAAAAGATGCTTCTTGTTTTTGTTTTGGGTCGAACCAAGTTGTGACTAAAAAGCTGAGACTACTACTTATATAAAAAAGCTACAGCTAAAAAGGAATTTTATTTATTTATTATTATTATTATTCATCAATCAATCATATCAATTTATCTACTGTTTTCTTATTTATTTGCTCCGATGAAATCAATAAAATTTAAATGGTACTTTTATTTTTCTTAAACCTACTTTCCTCCTGTTCTGGCACTTTATTTCGTTGAAGCTGGCGTTACTTCTGAAAGCAATCAGAAGCACACACAGCCCCAGGTGTGTTGATGAGTGTAATGGTGGGTGGTGTCTTTCTTTCTTCCTCGTTATAGTCTCCTCCTTTCTCCACATCTCCGCAGATCTTTACTGAATCACTTCCTCACTGCCTCTCTGTATGTTTTTCTCTCTAAATCCAACCAATCAGGGTTCTTTGTTTCTGTGCTTCCTCTGTCCCTCTTTCCCTTCTCCTGGTCCACCGACACTTTCTGTCTCAATCCTCCTTTTCCATTTGTTCATGGGTTATTTTCTTTGGATGCCAATCTCTCTCCGTCTCTCTCTTTCTGTCTCCCTCTTTCTCTCCCTCTCTCTGTCGCTCTCTCTCTTTCTGTCTCCATCTTTCTCTCCCTCTCTCTGTCTCTCTCTCTCTTTCTGTCTCCCTCTTTCTCTCCCTCTCTCTGTCTCCATCTTTCTCTCCCTCTCTCTGTCTCTTTCTGTCTCCCTCTTTCTCTCCCTCTCTCTGTCTCTCTCTCCTCCCCTCTCCCTCCCTCTCTCTCTCTCCACTCTGTTAGTTTGTAAGGTTTTGTGGTTTGTTTCTCTCTGTAATGAGCTCCAGTGGGAGAATTAGAGCTGGAATAACAAGCAAACATCAACATCATTTTACCTTTTCCTCCAGATCCCCCCCCTCCCCATCTCACTTCCTTTCTTCTCTTTATGCTTTGCTTTCCCGCCGTTTGATTCCCCCTCCTGTCCTTCCTCTTTTCTCTTCTCAACTCGTCCTCACACCTAAACGACAGAATAGCTTGTTTGCCTCTGTCTCCCAAAATTACACATATGACTGTTTGACGACGAACTGGTGTTGTGAAACGCTCGCAGTTTTAAACACGTGGTTAACGTAACTACTTAGTTCGATTTAGGAACGTGGCATGGCTCTGGTTAACACAACTATGTTACGGTTACGTTACGTAAGTCAATTTACGTACGTAAGTTCAAAAAGTCAACCTGCTTCCGTCGTAATGTTTACGGCCACTAGACGTCGCAGGGTCGAGTGTCTTCTCTCCAACTCACCTCTTTCCTATCTGACTTGTTGTGTTCTCTCCATCTGCTCAGATCAGTCTCAATGGCACTTCCTTCCTTCTACATTCCCTTCTTTTTTTTCTTACATTAATTTCCCTCCAAATAATGTATTGACATAAATATAAGATGTTTTTGTTCTTAATTTCATTGGAAAAACTGGAGTCATCCAACTTCCCAGTTCTCTGCTGGACTCGTGTACATTTTTTCTTATTTTCAGAGTTTGCTTCGGTTTAGGCACCTTAAACTACTCGGTTGAAGTAGAGAAAGAGTTCAAACTTTCTGTGAGGTAGATGAGAAGATAGAGACCCTAAACATGAAGCTACAGTCAGGAGCCAGTTAGCTTAGCTTAGCTTAAAGGCTGGGAACAGGGGGGAACACCTCGCCTTACAGTACCTCTACAGTTGACTGATTAGCTTGGCTTATCTTGTTTATGAACAACAAATGCTCGCTGTTTCCCCCGTTTCTAGTCTCCATGCTAAGCTAACAGACCGCAGGCTGTAGCTGTACATTTACTGGACAGTTGTATTAATCTGCTAATTTAATTTACGTGAATAAGTGTTCCTAAAACTTGTGTGAACAAAAAACAACCATAAAGACATTCCCTCTACATTAAACACATATTTGACACATTAAGTGGCTTAAGTGATAACCAAAGTGTTGACTCATTTCATGTGGGTTGATTATTTGAGTAATTGTTAAATAAGAAAAAAAATTTAGCTCTCCAAAGGGAAACACTTTTGTGAAACACATCTACGTTTCCATGAAAGTTGGTCAAAACATGAATTCATGTATTGATTTTTGAGATCAACAGTACTCCCAGAGTGAGCCCAGCCATCAGGCACATTAGCATATCATCCATCCAACATATTTAAATCAGTTAACATATCAACTGACATTATAATAACATTCTGCTCAGAACTTTGGGTATTTCCCTAATCAGGACTAAACAAAGATGCCTTCCTTGACCTAATGTTTGTCTTCGTTGTGGAGCTACTTTTATTGATGATTGATTGTAATTTACTACATTATGTCAGTTGAGTATCACAGTGGCATAAAACCCACGAGGCATTGGGGAACCTCACACCGCTCCAACAAGAAGACTTACGTGGACATCTCTTTCAATTCTAGCTTGTTCGGTAACGTTGGTCCTCTTCTATGAATATATGCAAAAGAGCAAACCTGTTTTTTTTTCATTTCAGTGAACCTGTAATTGTAATTGAACCCTTGTGTCAGGAGTATTATACCGTATTCATCAATCCTGTGCACACTATACTCTCTTTCTACTGAGTGGGAGGGAAAAAGACCTCCATCACCGCCAAATGATGATGAATAGTTCTATTCATAAAACCATGATTACATGCGTAAACATAGTTCGGGGGTGTTGTCGGGTGAAGTGCATCACCCAAGCTGTGAAAGACCGCAATTTATGACTGGTCAGGGTACAAGGTGTGGTCTCTTGGCCTAGTCATAGCAAAAATCACATTTTTATTGATATATGTAAATAGCTTAAAGGCTACTAAATACACCATATCTTCCTATTTTTGTTCACAATGTTTATTATTTCAAAAAGTCTCATCCAAAACAAGTGCTGCATAATTGGCTTGTTTCTCTGAAATTCTTTTTTTTTTAAATCTGTTAACTCAGTCGCAGCATCACCTGCTAAGAATTTACAACAGTGTGTGTGCGTGTGCTTGTGTATGTGTGTTCGTTTTCCTCACAGCAGCAGGTCCAAAGGCCTCGTCCTCCAGCAGTAATCTGATTGTGGTAGAGCGAGGGGGACATAATTGTCTGCAGCAGGTCACCGCATAGCAAACAAAGTGGGAGTGTGTGTGCTATGTGGCTCTCCTCTCCTCTCTTCTCCTCTCTCCTCTTCTCCCCTCCTCTCCTCTCAATGTCAAGAGAAAGCTGACAGTTGGGTCTGATGCAGCATTATATTTTCAGCTCTATGGAAATGTGCTCACACTTATTTACAGTTGCCAAGACCACACACACACACTCACACTTCCTGCTGCCATACACACTTTGGCCCCAGTCCCCTCTCACTCCAGCCAGATGGGCATGAGGGCAGATAGACAGTCAACAAGACAGACCGACAGAGAGCGAGTCAGGCGGACATCTAGATGGGGAAAAAAAAGAGAGAGCAGCAATTCTTTTGTCCCAATGAGAGATAGCCTTTGACTTCTGCCCGACTCCCCCAATCCTCAGGTCACACACACACTCATACATCCATGGTGACTCGATCTCTACCCTTTTGAGATCATCTGACACCAGGTCCCTAAGGCCGTGCCCTTTGTCTCACCCCTCGTCACTCAAACGGCAGTCAGACAGGAAGAGGCAAAAACAACTCAAATTCTTTAGGGTAAATGTTTCAAGACAGCAGTTTATGCATTTGTTTCATAAAAGAAAAGCAAAGCGAATACATCATGTATGCATATCCAGTGACTCTTTAAAGAACTGTAGATCTTTCTTCAAAGTAAAACCTACATATCCCATGTAGGCTCAATACAGCATTACAGTTAAATCAAAAGCAAAATCAGTATTATCTCACACTGCTGATTCTATATGTCTCTTTCTCTATTCTCTAGTGTTGGATTGCCCACTTCTTCAAAAACATTGTACTTTGGATGCTGGCTACCGAGAGGTTGAAGAATAACCGTGCAACACACCCGCCAGGGTTTGATAGTCTCATACATTATACTTATGGTCAAATATCGCAAATATAATACAACCCTGACCTAACGCTAACCAAGCTGTTTTAGTTGCCAGCTTACTGTCACTTCACTTGGATGAAGGTTGTTTTCACATTCATCTGCTGAAAGGGGAAAATGTTCTCTGTGCTCACTTTAAATATCAACTGAACTCATGTTAGTAGCATGTTTTGTGACATCACAATTAGTTTGGGAGCCAATTGTGGTCAAATATATAAATTACTCAAGAGTGATGTGGAAACTTGAAGGGCCCTGTTTAAACAATCTAAAGCGTATGGTCTTAAGTGCAACTGCATTTGATGCGCGTCCAACTCCAATTTTGCATACACAGTGCAGAATCTGGGGGCAAAGTGAGGCACAAGGGGCAAAAGGGCTGAACGCCAACAAAAATTGATTGAAATAAAATATTTTATTGGTTAAAAAACATGTTGTGAATTCTGGAATTGATTACATTTATCTTTTATTTTCATAGAGTTTGACTTTTGGACTTCATAAACGTCTGTAGTTATTCAAAATTCTATGCGGTCACCAATGGAATGGAATTCTACTACAATACCAATAATATCAGTGTAGCCTAATCTTTATGAATGAAGCTTCGATGCTTCAAACTATCCGCTACAGCCCTGGAATTGGTTCCTATTGATGACTTTCATATTCCGTTTAAGAGGGCACTCCATTTACTATTTGTCAAATAAATGTTGCTATAGTATATTGTGAAGGGAGGGAATGGGCGGGTTTTTTCGTCCTTGGCCGGTGGGCCCACCGCCTCTGCAGTCTACCAATCCTCCGTCCCAACAACTCCATTTTACTGCAGAAGAGGAAATGCACCTATAAACATTCATGCTTCCACTGTAAGAGGCAATGCTTTCAGTTACAAATCAGAACATCCATGAACCTGGATTTACTCGTTTCATTCAAACTTGTAAAATTGTTTTTTAATTCATTCCCAAACTACAAAAGAAACACATAAAGCCATATTTCATGTGAGAGAAACACAGCTGACCGCAGCCAACTGAAATAAGAACAATGCCAACAACGCGTTTACTGTTTCACTGTTTATTCTGCGTCCAGCAGAATACAACATTAGCTGCAGACGTTTTGCTAAAACATTAGTCCAACATACTTTGCAATTAGCAGGAGACATTGCGACAGTTCAAACTAACACTCAACTGAAACTGAAGGACTGTGCGACACAGTGC